CGGCCCTCGTCGCACGCCCACACGTCACGGCTCCCTCAGCGCGCCGTTCGTCGCGGCCCCTCCTCATGCGTGCAGCAGGCGAGGCGCACAGGGCCGTCGTCGTGAGCGTGTCGGTGGGTGTGCGAGTGGAGCAGTTGGGCGGGAAACACACGGCACCCCTCACAGGAAGAGCGCAGCAGGAAACAATTAAAAAGTAGAAGAGAAAAACCGTCCATGGTGGTTGCCCTAAAGCAACAAGTAAAAGAAGAGAAATAATTTGCAAGAAAACAAAAAGCAATACAATATAAAAAAGCAGCAGGAAATTTAAAAAGAAAACAAAAGAAGTTTGGGAGTCAAAAAAAACTCCCGGGGGGCGAAAAAAAAGAAAAGAAACATCTCTCAGCAAAAGTTTTCATTTCACGTGTCCCCAAAACACAGGGGAATGGGTGTGGGCGTACATTGCCCGCACAAAAATAAGCAATGAAGCATGAGAAAAGATCGCATTCCTCCACCAGCCCACACAACATCCCTCACATTCCATGCGGCATCCGGCCTGCTCCTCCACTCCTCGTTTGTGCAGTCCGTGGGGCGCACAGCAGCGAGGCCGGCACCGCGTGTGGGTGGCAGAAGCAAACAAGAGGGAACTCGTCATTCACGACGGTGTACAGCAGCCAGACAGTGGAAAACAGAACATAGCAAAAGCACTTCCTAAATTGAGGTGGAGGATTTGCCCACAGGGCGTCAGGCAGAAAAAACACATATACAGGGGACGAGTCGTACCTTTCATCATTCTTGTGTGGCTGCTCCGCACCGCTGCCCAGCGGCACAGACAAGGGCGGTCAGCAGCAGCAGCAGTGGTGTGTGCACCCACGCAGTGGCGATGGCGCTGCTGTCCGACGTGCCGGGATCCTGCGCTCCGGTGGTGGCACTGTTGTTGGCCTCCCTCGTATATGTCGGGTTGCCGGACTGTGAGGCAGCACCGGCCGTGGCTGCACCGGAGGCCCCACCATTGCCGCTGGCGGGAGTGGCTGAGGGTGTTTGCGTCGTCCCGGATGCATCCGTTCTGCCAACCCCTTCGCCTGTTGGCAGCTGCGAAGTGTTACCGGGTTGTGGGTCCGCTGGGGCTATCCCCTGCTCAATAGTCTGTGCCGATGATGGGGCCCCACTCGCAGCTGAACTCGAACTGCCTGCAGTCTGCCCCGCTGCGGGTGCCTCCACTGCTGTCACTTGTGCTGCCGACGCTACTGCAGCGGCCTCTTGAGGTCCACCGTTAGCCTTCTCAGGTGCCTTTTCAACAGAAGTCTTTAACGGACAGACGCCTGGGGTGCTTCCCGCAGCAGGATTAGAAGACTTATTATATTCCAGCCACTTCTTGTACACACCACTGGCGTTACTCGTAGAATATTCCTTCGTAAACGCGGTTGCATCCGAATTAGATGAATTGCAGGATTCATTACATTTTGCAGCCGAGTACATCCGTTCGGCCGAGAGGCAAAGTGACTCACTGACAAGGCTGGGATCCTCACGTGACGAATCCAAAATAACAACAACAACTTCGTCAGATGTACCACTTACAGTGTATTCTTCACTGCCCACCTGAACAACATTATAGCTTACAGTCTCCTCCGCAACAACAGTGTAGCCTCCATTGTTCTCCTGATCAACATTGTAGTCATGAGCACCCTGTACGAGTGCACACTTATTCCAATTTGTCTGGCCGGGAAAGCGCCATTGCGACTTATTCCCACTGTTTGCACACGAGACCTCCACCAACAGGTTCACAGCAGGCCCTACGAAATACAAATCATTTGAATGTACAGCAGCCCCCGTCGCAGCCGCAGCCGCCACGCACACAGAAGCGCAGCAGCACAACAGCGCGGGGGACAACAGGGCGCACACCTCACGGCGCAGTGCAGTCGCCGTCATCGCAGTGGTCATCATCCTTCCTAGAGTTGCTGGGGTCAGTCCGTTGATCTGCACACGGAGTGGGGAAGGGAAAGACAGAACAAGAGGGAGAGGAAGAGAGAGGCGCAGCATAGACACACGCGCAAAGAGAGCACACAGCATGGCAAGAGGCAGCCACAGCCCACACATTCCACAGAATGCGAGGCCGCACATACACACACACGCACACTGCCAGCAGTCACCCCACCATGGACAAGAAGGAGAGATCCACAACCTCATCCTCCTCCACCTCATTCTCACAGCCAACGGATATGGCCACGTCCCCGCAGCCAGCACAAGGCGCCCACACCCACACCACCAGCCACACGTGGAAGCGGATCCTCAGCCATCCACGACGCGGCGACATGAATTTACACTGCCATCCCGCCCTCAACGGGATGCCGCGCCTCACTCCATGCAGTCACACGAGGTGCACCACATCCACAGGAAAAGGAGAATCGGGCTGCGCACTCCCTCCCTCCTCCCTTCTCCACATGACCACGGAAGAAGACAGCCGCCGCCACACGCAACTGCAAGCATGCACCACAAAAGAAGCATTCAAATCCACTGCAATGTGTGGTTGTGTGCGTGTGTGGTTGTGTGTGCCTGCAGAAACACAAAGCAAAATATCAGAAAAAAGGGAGCGGAGTACGTGGAGAGACGCACAAAAATGTACAGCGGAGGTGCATGGCGGAAACAACAACAAGAAGACCGCTCAAACTCATGACTGCACTGCAGCCCAAGCAGTGGCAACTCACACAAGATTTATTTAAAACAAAGAAAACCATCCCCTTCATCCTATACAAACCCCATCACACAAAATAATTATAAATGAAAAAGAAATCGTCCATCACTGTTACACACAATTTTGAAAATAAGAAAATTCGCCTGGCTGCCGTGTGGTCACACCAAACTGTCTGCATATATTTTGCCCACAAAATAAAATTAAAAAGTATTTAAATGTCTTTCAACCGTCTGACCCTCTGCGTGTCCGCACATCGTTTATATTTCACGGCGTCATCTGCGTGTTGCTGCTCCCCTCAGCCCTTTCATCGGCGTGCGAGTGCGGCCCGCAGAGCACAGTCACTCGTGTGCGTGTGGACTGGGAGAAGCACGCAGACATGACGGGAGTCGCGTCTCTCCATCGGGAGAGTGAGCGCAGCAAAAATCTTAAAAACACGGCGGCAGGGCGTGGCTGTGTGTGTGGCACCGCGGGTGTCTGCCAGCCCTGGCCGCAAAGAAAACAAAAAACAAGAGGGAAGAAATGTGTGCTCCGCCCCACAGGCCCTCGTCGCACGCCCACACGTCACGGCTCCCTCAGCGCGCCGTTCGTCGCCGCCCCTCCTCATGCGTGCAGCAGGCGAGGCGCACAGGGCCGTCGTCGTGAGCGTGTCGGTGGGTGTGCGAGTGGAGCAGTTGGGCGGAAACACACGGCACCCCTCGCAGGAAGAGCGCAGCAACAAACAATTAAAAGGAGTAGAAAAGAAAAAAGTCCAAAGTGATTGCCCCCTCAAAAACCGAAAAAAAGGATGGGGAATGAGAAATAAGAAAAAACAAAAAATTAAAAAAAGAATTTTAAAAAAAGAAAGTAGCAAACATTAAAATAAATTTAAAATACGAAAAAAAAAGTAAAATTATCAGAGATATTCGTTCCCGGAGAAGTATTTCGGTGCAGGGGAGTGCCGCAAGTGTCCCACGCGGCAGCCAGTCACGCCTCACAGAGCCGCGAACCCCCACAGTCCCAACAGGAGAAGAAGCAGCGATGGCAACAGTCCGCTCTCACGCGTGGTGCCGGCATCGCTGTTATTCCCCTGCGACAAATTCCCGAGACTGCTGCTGAGGGCCGCAGCCTTTACGTCCCCGTTCTGTGCATGGACCTCCTCCTCGCGTCCATCCGTTCCTTCCGCTGCCTCCCCATCCGCGCCTGAGCTCGCGCTCGCCCCAGGATTCACTGCGGTTCCATCGTGCCCCGTGGCTTCAGCGTTAGGGGCATATGCATCTGCTGTGGCGGGAGTACCCACAAGAGTCTGTGATGATCCATCTCCCTGCACCATACTTCGGTCTCCTGTCTCCACCGCTGCGTCACTGCCAGGCGAGGAAGCGCCACCCACATTTTTACTTCCATCGAAAGATTCTTCTGACGCCACCTGCATTACGGACTCTTCTCCTACTGAGGAAATCGTGGCACTGGACACTGTTGGTGCGGATACAACACCTGCACCGCTGCTCCCCAACAACTGTCCCTGTTCCTCCGGTCCTCCACCAGAAGATTGAATCGCTTCTCCTTCAACAGGCCTGTCCACCTCAACTGGAATATTGGCTTTATTCGGATTGAAGGCGCCAATCTCAGTGTCATCCCACGGGCGGTTGTACAGCAGGACGTTCGTCACAGTCACAGACACGTCTCCTTTGATCTCTGCGCTGCCTCCATCCCCTCCAATGTAGAAGTGGGAGATCTCATTCGACTCACCACTTCCCAATTCACATTGTGCATTCCCCACACGCTGACCATCAACGTACGCGGAGCTCTGGGTGCCGTTCCGTAGAAAAATTACCACGTGTTGAGGTGTCTCTGTCCCCAAAATGCTGCCGAGCTCTTTAGGGTCTCCATCACCGCACAGCACCTGCCACTTCTTTTCGCTGTCGTACGACAACTCAATAAGTTTTTTTTCTCCTTTACTGCCCGCACGCACACCCATCAACGGAATAGTACCCTCCGGCACGTTGTGGATGGACACCGTCGCCACAAGAGTAAATTTATAGTTCGCAAAGTGGTACAGCTGATTCTCCCCCTGCCTGCCAACGGGCCACTCCGCCCCTGCGCCACGCCCAGTAAACTTCGCGCCATCGGAGGGCCCTGTGGCCGCTGCTGCACCGTTCTTTGCTACTGTGGCGTTCACCCCGAGATACTCGTCCATCCATGTGCCATCAGAGAATTTGCCAGACAAAAAGCCAACCAGCCCATCCGTGATCTTAACAGCGCCGCAGGCAGTGTCAGTTAGGCGATCCTTCTCAGCAATCAATGACGAGCACAGCTGGGAGACACGCTTGTCCACTTCCTTCCAGGTCGCCAGCACCTTCTTCACCCGCTGCAGCTGCTCAGTCAGAAGCACAGAGACCAGACCGGGTGATGGCTTTCCTTCATCACCGCCCTTCTTCTTCTCGTACAGTGCAATCAACTCCTCCTTCTTCTCCTTATCAGTTCCACTTCCAGCACTTTTGTACAACAGGGAGCTGGCAGCAGCGTCATCATCGGATACCGGCCCAATATCAACAATGTGCGTGTTGTCCGTCAGCCAAAGATGGAGTACGCCTTTTTCTCCATTGCCTTCCTCCTTGGAATACACCGGCAGAGTAACGAGCATCACGTCCTTGTCCCCAATCGTCGCTGTGGTGAACCCGCTTCTAACAGCCTTCACATTTCCCTCGTGTTTGTTGCCCCACACGCGCGAGAGTGTCCCGAGTGCCTCCGTCCACGACTCCCCCTTGTCACCGGACTCGTACACCCTGCGGCGGCCATCAGCACACGCAGTCATCATCATGAGTTTTGTGTCCTTCCACTCCACGACGGAGGGATCACCGCAGCCATCGGCAGACATCCCCTTCGGCAGTGTCCAAAATTTAGTATCCTTCGAGTGTAGGATCAGCGAGACAGTCTTTTCTTCCTCTGCAGCGCCATCACCCTGGTTCGTCTTATTCCTCGTCCCTTCCAGCGGGAACACAAGCGTACCGTCCTCCATCTGAACGCCCGATCCACCGCTGCCAACCAGCCTTTTCAAGGGTTCATTTTGATTGCCATTATAACTCCACGGGATAGCGTAAGTATCATTCCAAAGTATTCTTTTGTTCCTTTCTCCTTCCTTACTGACGTTCCCTTTCACCAGCATGAGTCCCCAGCCACCTGCCCGATCATCAGCATTACGTGTCCAACTGTAGTTTCCAGCAAGCATGTAAATATCACTTCCCCGCACGACTGTTGTTGGTCGGCTCACATGTACTGTCGTCTGGCTTTGGGAATCAGACTCATCCGCTATACGGCAGGCGCTTTTCTCATCGGAAGAAAATTCCTCCAGTACTTGTGTCTTCAATTCAGTTTTATCCAACTCCTCTTTTAGGCTTTCTTGATTCAACTCCAGGAGCTTCGAGGGAATCCCAGTAAAATCACCTTCTGCCCCCTTTTTGCACTGCGCCTCCGCAACGGCAAACACATCAGTCCCCACTTTCAAAAGACTGGGAACAGAGAGCGAGCTCACTGTTTCTCCATCTTTCTTATCTCTCCAAACAAAACGTTTACGCTTTGAACATCCCGGGGATGACGCCTCACCAGCAGCCGCAGCTCCACTGCCGCAGCAAATCATCACGAAGAGGAGGACGAGCAGCACCGCGGAAGTAAACACACGCCGGGACATGTGGGGCCTCTGCGGCTCACTCTCTCTTCCTTCCCTCCTCCTTCCGCTGGATCCGGTCACGCCGCGACGGTTGTGTGTGCGGGGTGCCTTCACTGCAGCAACACGTGAGAGCATATAAATATGTGTGTGTGGGCGGTGTGTGTGCTGTTGGTCCTTTCAGTGCCCTCAAATTTCACAGTGGCGTTTAGCGCTTGTTATTAACTTCTTTTCTTTGTGTGTGAGTACGAGAGAGAAAAGAGGGAAAAAGAAGTGAAACAGCGAACACCGCTAGCGTCCACAGTGACTGGCATCATCATCATCATCCCCGCCGCAGTCACTCTCAACAACAACTCACGCACACAGACAAATGGAACGAGAAGGATGAACAGCGCAGCGGGAACACACAGCGACTGCCACCAGGAGCAGCAGCAGCAGGAACCACAGCCGGCACGTCGTTATTCGTCATGCGCCAGCACACACCTTCGTAGGACACATCAGAGCCTCCCGCAAGAGGAAACACTCTGTTGCCCTTCGTGATTGTTGTGGGGCGGAGCAAAACACCCAAACTCTCCTTTCCCTCCGCTGCACCAAGCACAGTGTGTGCCCTCCATGTATCCTTTCATTGACCTCACCAACAACAGTGGACCAATTCCACACAGAGTCGATGTAACCCGCAACAAGATCAGAAGAAAAGGACATAATTAATTGACCACATTGATATTCGGCATCCATGTGACCCTCGGCGAAAGCAGCAATTACTCCACCAGCACTGACGAGAGAGGGTGAGGCAAATGAATCCCTCGTCGTAACTGGAACAATCCCATCCTTCGGCTGCACCAGCGTCGTCTGCGGCACAAATAGATCGACTCCCTGCGGCAACTCAGCATTTATTAAACCACTCATCCCATCATCAATGGGATCCCCTTTGGCTCGGTGACAGGCGTGGGCCTTCTTTCGGGTGGTGTCGGAGTCACATTGACATTTTAAACGTAAGCAAACTCAGGCCTCGCCTCGGACGTGTTGGTCGCCGTGTTGGATGCGGGACTCGGATCGACGGTGTTGGGTCCGTCAGCCGCAGCAGACCGCCGCCGATCCTCGTGTTGACGTGACGGCTCAGCATTAAATTGCGGCGCAGTTGTCCCACAGGATTTTGTGTCATCCTTCACGGGGTGGCGGCAACTGACGGATGCCCGTCCGGTCAGCATCGCCGCTCCGTACAGGCGGATGGATGGTTCCATCGGGGGAAAATAGACGCCGCCACAATTCATAAGGGCCGGCGTATTTATGTGTCGTCACATTCATCGTGAAGGCAACGGTGGCCCCTTCCTCTTTCCTTGCACAGCTGGCAGCACAGTTGCTACATGTGTGCACCGCATTGGCCACATGGCACACAGCACACAGCTCACCATTCCTGCCATGCATGCACACACCAAAGCCACTGAAATTATAATTCTCATGCTGAGCCTCAGCACCGGCAGCAGAACACTTCTTCCACGCACGCGATAGCTCAAAATGCCGTCACTCGGAGCACACGACACATCCACCGGCACAACCACCGCATCCGCAGCACCAGATACATGTCCAGGACTCCCAGCAGCCGTCACGCACACGGAATTGCAGCAGCAGCACAAGAGCGCAAGGAACAACACGCCGCACCGTCACCATCGCAGTCATCGTCATCCACAGTGGAGCCGCTGGAGCCAGTCAGCTGATCGGTGGGACAGAAGAGAAAGAATGCAACAGGGAGGGAGAGGGACGGGGCACAGCGGATACAGCGGATACAGCGAGAGAGAGCAGGCAAAATGAGGAGAGGGCAGCTGGCCCAGCCGCACAGTTCACACACCACGAGACGGCATCCACGCAATGAACGCGCACGCCGCCACCGCCTCCAGTTCAGTCCCACGGACAACGGGATACGGCCACAGCCCGCTGCCGGCACACAACGCACACGGAGCAAGCAATCACCCAAAGAGCCACACGCGGAAGCGGATCCTCATCCATCCATGACGCGGCGCCTCACTCCACGCGGTCACACGGAGTGCACTGTTTCCTCAATAGACCTTATTCGTCGTCCATCCCGCTAAGATGCTTCTGTTAGTGATGGGCCTTCGAACACAATAGAAGAAAATGGACAATGCGGTAACGCCGTGACACCACCAGCCACAATGATTCCCTCATACCGGGGCAATTCTCCAATTATGCCTCGTATGCACACACAATCAATCAACATACCGTATGAAAACCACCCAATGTTTTTCACCAGAAGCCAAGCAACCCCTTTCCCTCCCTAATTTCTTCTCTCACTGTTGAGTTCGATAGCGTTGGACATTTTGGCATTTGTGTGCGGTGCTGCCGCATGGTGCTGGTGCACCCGCACCGTACGCACACACACACACACGTATCCAAAAATACATAAATCCCACAATATTTTTTACCACAAATCAAAATGACCCGTTCACTTGCAATTTCCTAATCTATTTTCCCATTTCTGTGGTTATTCCTCACTTCGGAGTGCTTCGCCTTTTCTAAAGTCTCTGCATGGTATTGACACTTGGTACTGGCGCACCTCTTCCTCCAGAACACCGAATCTCACGGCTCTCGTCGCTCACATTATCGGAATCGTCGACATCACATCTCTGCCAGTCATCGGCGTGCTGTCTGCGTGCTGCACACAAATAATCACCCACGACATGTCCCGAGATAACTCCTCCCAACCATTAAAATATGCCGCCAGGCACTCAGTGAACTGCCGCACAGTGCTGGTTGTCGTGTAGTGCTCACCCGCCGTAGCCATCCGTAGCCCAAACAGCGTCACTGGTATCTTCACAAAGAAAAAAAAGGCGTCCACCAGCGGAAAGTTTGTGGCCCACGCTGTGTGCAGCACCCCGTACTTTATTTTACGGATCGTCTTTTCATATTCACTCGGCAGCAAACCCTCATCTCCCTTGGGATGCAATTCAGGGCAACTTCAAGACGCAGGGCGTTGCTTGACGTCCTGTTGGCGGCTCAAACTCCGTGAGTTTCGTCGCCATTGCCTTGGCAAAGGCACCCTCCGTGAACGATTTCAAAACAAACCATCCAAAAAATATTGGCAAAATATTATCCCTCGACGCCAACATCAGCCTCAAAAGCTATTTTATTCTGCTACACTTGGGAATAGTTCCAATGTCCGTTCCTCGAGGCAAGCAGATATCGGTGCATTGAAAAGGATCACACCGCCTGCGTATATTTCCCGAACAACTTTCACAAGCCTGTGGGACGGACCCTCAGAACACCATGGCAACTCACCTCCCCGTGAAAAGTACTCTTTCACAGTTACCTCGTTTATCGATTGCAATGCAAACCTCACCGCTCCACAGCGTCCATTAAACGCCTCCTCATCAAAGACGTGACGTGGAATCGATCACAAAAGATAAATGTGTTTTTTGACCTCTTTCCAGCATTCCGCTTGTTTCTCTTTGGTCTCATCACGCGTTATCCAGGCGCACATCGCCTTCACATCCACCTCGTCGGGGCAATTCACGATGACTCGCGCGGCTTGTAGTTGCTTCGCCCACTCATCATAGTTGGTTACCTTTGGGAATGGCACCGCAATCATGCCCCATCCAGAAGTAGGCGCAAAATGTCTCGGTGGCGGCGTTCCCTCCTTTGCCACACCGTAGATAATATACACATTCCTCCCATGCCTCCTCAAACTTCTCAACTCCGAGACGCACATGTCCTCATCGCCGCATCTTGTCACCGCTCTGGTGGTCTTGTCAGACACGTACGCATCTCCTCCACCAAAACAGTGGAATACCACTTGGAGTTTCTTGGCATCGCAGTGCAGCAGCTGGTAGAGGAGGTACGAGCCGGCAGCCACCGAATTCCCGATATCGGGCGTCCCAATCAACAAACGTCGCTCGGGCTTACAGTCGGTCCCACCGTGAGGGCTGGACCACGCGGTTACATCGCCCTTGACGGTCCGCCACGCTCGATCCACCTCACAGTTTACAAAAACGTCCTCAGGAAGATCCTGTATCGTATGACACGAGTACGGCCATCCCTTCTCCGAGGCAAGCACCATCAACACGGGAGGTGCTGCATCAAATTGCTGCACAGCGTCATTCTCTTCGATGGTGTCGTCAGCTTTCTTGTACGACCATGACTGCTCTGGCCTCCCCTCATGCACCTCCATTCCTGTCCCGTTTTCTTTCGCTCCACGCCGTCCGGAAGTTCCACCGCATGGCTCCGCCCCGCATTGTGCACAGACTCGTACAATCCCTCCAGTTTCTCCGGTGCGCTCGTCGTCGTTGGGTTCCTCGCCTCCTCGGCAGCTGCATCCAAGAAATGTTTAGTGGAGTTATGAACAGTTGCTTTTTACCTCCACAGCAGCCACCAACCACCCCGGTAGATTGTCGACACCCTTATCGCATAGCCTGCGTATATCCTCATCGAAGATCACTTCACCCTTTCCAGCTCGCCTCATACTCAAATAACGACCCGATGCCTGTATCTCGTTCAACGCTCCTTTATCACGGATATAATTCGTGGGGTCCCTGAAAAACTCCTCCGGCAAGACATCCCGATTGGTGTCCACAATGCCCCTGCCGTCCAGTTCCCTCGTAAGAAATTCGTTCAGCCTCATTTCATTGACGCGAACTCTTCCTTAAACAGTACCTCTTCGATATTAGTGGAAATGGTAAATTTCATTTCTTGCGTTCGTCTTAGCCTTTCCTCTGCCTCCCGCCTCGCTTCTGCCAGTACCTGCGTGAGTACTCCGTTTGGTGTTCTCCTTGCAAGAGGAGTGATCGTATCCTTTTCTTTCATAGTCTCGACGTTGCCCTAGAGAGAGAGCACACCTTCGTGAAGAGGCCTAGTAATGGCCTCCAGCGCTTGGCACGCAGTTAAGTTAAGAATTTCTTCAAGAGGCCGCTGGTCTTGTACGTAATCATCCGGCTCCCGAACAAACATCTCCATCGTCACATTGTAGTCTTTCATCAACGGCCGCCCTGCCGCCAACATAATTCCAAAGGAAATCACTCAGCCTCATGTTGGTGCTGCTCATGCTCCACTGCGGCCACACTCTACTCCCCGCCACATGTCGAGCCGCAGCGTCGGAACCATCACAAGAGCCACGGCGAGGTGCCATCACAACACCCGTGCGGTGAAGCATCCCACTCGCACCGCCCAACTGCGGCCAGCAGGTGCCGCTGGCTCCAAAGAACACTCGCGGCTGTTTCGTCCCGCAGTCCCAATGGCGTTGGGCGTGACACTCGCACGGCTCGGTGGTCGGTGCGCCATGCAGCCGCACTGCAACACCTGTCGGTGAAGCAGCCGAGGCCAACCGCCCCCGCAGCAACACGAGGCATGCAACCAACCCCAACACCGCCACACTATCGCCCTTTTTTATCGCCCTTTTCTGTTTTTTCACGTTGTCTGTCTGTTTGCCCCATCACCGACACCAAAAACAAGTGCACACCTTCACAAAAGGGAAGGAACAAAGAGAAAAGGAGGCACGATCCCACAGTCACGCAGCGGATCAACACTCTCGTCCACCCACCGCCATTGCCGCGCAGGGGACCGCAGTCACATCGCAGAGTCAGCACCACAATGTGCACCACACCATCGTGCAGTGAACAATGGGCGAGACGCGGCCATGCATCGCCCCGCTCCATTTTACCACCCATCAATTCTTGCGTGCCCGCACAAAGCAGAAAACAAAGCCAGAGTGCACACAAACCCAATCAATCCCCTCACTCGCTGAAGCACATCATTCGCATGGAGTGACAACATTTGGGGACACACCAGCAGTAGCAGAAGGCATGGAATCTCCCTGCCAACCCCGCGAAGAGACACAACAACTCTGCGGAGTCAAAGTGACAGTCCCTCGGTGCTGCCCGCAGTTCACATGGCAGGAAGAATTCCACGCACGCATAGTTCCGGACACCTCGCTGTTTGAGTGCACATCAACAGAACATGAGAAAAAAATACCTGCGCGCAAGACGGCAATTAAACACGTGAAAAGTCGGTCTGTTTTTCTCCGATGGCGCTGGCGAGCAGTCCTACACAATCCAATCAAATTGGCACGCCGGACAGGATGGCGTCCGTCAATCAATAAAAAAATGCAACACTGAAAGGGAGCAGAGAAGAGTTGGCGCATGCGATTGCCAGCGACAACTGTGAGCAAACCCGCCAGCACCAACTGAGATGCCGAGCAGCACGCTTGTGTAGAACCGGCCGTCAGGCAGAGAGGATAAGCAAAACAAAAGAGCAGCAAACCCTCTCGTTCAGTGTCTCCTGACCACGACACCAGAATCAAAATAACATGGACGACAAGAGCGGCAACGCCTTCTCCAAGACATCGTGTCAAGAGGCCGCAGGACCTCAGGAAGGGAGGAAGGCAGCGGCGGCAGCCACAGCGGGGGAGGCAATAAAACGGCTGGCAGGCGCCTTCGCGTCGACGCGCACACCACATCCGAGTGGACCGGGAGCACAGACCGAACCGCTCGGAAACACACGCATCAAATCCGCAAAACAAAGTCGCAGTGAATCGACAGGAACTCCCCGTCCAAAATAAATTTAAAAAGTAGCGTTTTTCAAGGGGGACTCCGCCTTTCCGACGACGGCACGGACGCCTCGCAGGAATTTCTTGCAAATCTCCCTTCGCAGGTCCGCATGAAAACGCAGCGGAATAAAAAGAGAGCGCAACGACGCAAAAAAATAATCCTCCTAACCGACCAGGTGGCAGGCCGCCCTCGCGCAAGCGGACAAAACACAACTTCACTCCGGTCTTGCGGTGGTGGTCGTCTCGCAACATTTTCTCCTTCTCGTCGCAGTGCACATCCCCCTCCCACAAATCATTTGTTCGGGCCATGTTCCTGCGGCCAGACATCTCGCTGCTGGATCCCGCGGCACAGTCCTCGGCGCAGAAGTGAGGGAAGGAAGAGGGACCGCAGAAGGTGCGAGCAAATCCGAATTCGGTGGCGGTCGCTGCAGTGAAGATTGACGTCCCACGCGGTGTCCCTTTTCTGGGTCCGGTCCTCACCGTGCCATGCGCTCAGCGTGCGGTGCGCCGGCCGCTCTGAACATCCACACGTGCTTGCGTCTCACTGTCGCTCCCAGCCCCGTTCGTTGGCTGCATCAGGAATGCCGCCATCCAGAGACGGGCATAAGGACGTTGCATCCAACAAAACCTTCAGAGGCACCCGCTGGGCCAACGACGACCGTCACTGCGAGATGTGCGGCCCTTCCGCCGCTCACCTCAAATCGCACTTCTACGCCTCCTCGAGCAGCAGCAGCAGCATAAATACACCGGTCCACTAGAGGCCGTCACCAGCCATTGCAGGAAGACCACTGTGCCTCAGTGCCATGAAACCCGAATTGCATTGACGGGCCACTTCGGAAAATCCTGTCGCATCCTCCCCCATTATGCGGAAACACATCCATCGTGCGTGTGTCCACCGCAGCCAAATGAATCCGGTCCAAATACCCTTCAAACCAAATTCCCCTTTCCTCAAGCCATTCCCTCATTCCATGCGCCCTGCCCCTCATCCGCACGTGCCCACTCACGCAAACCGCCATAGACAGATGGTGGCCGCCCAACGCTCCGGAAAAACATGCCCAGCACGCACGCGCATAACAAATGGCATGCGCAAACACACGGCACGACGGCGGAGAAGCGCACACCGAAAGGATGCGGCCCTCCACAGCAGTCGCAGCCCACCGCACGCATCACACCCGCAGGAAGAGTGACTCGCGGTGCGCGGTCCCTCTCTCCTCCCTCCCTTCTACCCATGGCCACGGAAGAAGACAACAGCAGCCACCCGCAACTGCCAGCATGCACTACAAAAGAAGCATTCAAATCCACTGCAATGTGTGGTTGTGTGCGTGTGTGGTTGTGTGTGCCTGCAGAAACACAAAGCAAAATATCAGAAAAAAGGGAGCGGAGTACGTGGAGAGACGCACAAAAATGTACAGCGGAGGTGCGTGGCGGAAGCAACAAGAAGAAGACCGCTCAAACTCATGACTGCACTGCCGTCCAAGCAGTGGCAATCCACACAATATTTATTTAAAACAAAAAGAAAACCATCCCCTTCATCTTACACAAACCCCATCACACAAAATAATTATAAATGAAAAAGAAATCGTCCATTACTGTTCCGCACAAATTTGAAAATAAGAAAAATCGCCTGGCAGCCGTGTGGCCACACCGAACTGTCTGTATATTTTGTCCGAAAATAAAATTAAAAATATATTTAAATGTCTTTCAGCCGTCCGACCCTCTGCGTGTCCGCGCATCGTTTATATTTCATGGGGTCATCTGCGTGTTGCTGCTCCCCTCAGCCCTCTCATCGGCGCGTGAGTGCGGCCCGCAGAGCACAGTCACTCGTGTGTGTGGGGACTGAGAGAAGCACGCAGACATGACGGGAGTCGCGTCACTCCATCGGGAGAGTGAGCGCAGCAAAAAAAAAAAAAACACGGCGGCAGGGTGTGGCTGTGTGTGTGGCGCTGCGGGTGTCTGCCCGCCCTGGCCGCAAGAAAACAAAACAAGAGGAAAGAAATGTGTGCTCCGCCCCACAGGCCCTCGTCGCACGCCCACACGTCACGGCTCCCTCAGCGCGCCGTTCGTCGCGGCCCCTCCTCATGCGTGCAGCGGGCGAGGCGCACAGGGCCGTCGTCACGAGCGTGTCGGTGGGTGTGCTAGTGGAGCAGTTGGGCGGGAAACACACAGCACCCCTCACAGGAAGAGTGCAGCAACAAACAATTAAAAGAGTAGAAAAGAAAAAAACGTCCATAGTGATTGCCCCAAAAGAAAAAAAAAAGATATGGGGGATGAAAAATAAAAAAACAGACAAAAGTTAATAACAGAAAAAAAAATTTTTAAGGACACACACACGCGAAACACGCAAAAAAATTATGAATTACAAACAGAAAGCAAGAAAAGAAAATTATCTTAAGGAAAAAGTTAGTTCCAGGAAAATTAATTCCGTGCAGGGGAGGTCGCAAGTGCTCCACGCGGCTGCCAGTCACGCCTCACAGAGCCGTCAACCCCCACAGTCCCCACAGTCCCAACAGAAGCAGCGATGGCAGCAGTCCGTTCTCATGCATGGTGCCGGCATCGCTGTTATTCCCCTGCGACACATTTCCGAGACTGCTGCTGAGGGCCGCAGCCTTTACGTCCCCGTTCTGTGCGTGGATCTCCTCCTTCTGCCCATCCGTTCCTTCCGCTGCCTCCCCATCCGCACCTGAGCCCGCGCTCGCCCCAGGATTCACTGCGGTTCCATCGTGCCCCATGGCTTCAGCGTTAGGGTCATATGCATCTGCTGTGGCGGGAGTACCCACAGGAGTTTGTGATGATCCATCTCCCTGCACCGTACTTCGGTCTCCTGTCTCCACCGCTGCGTCACTGCCAGGCGAGGAACCGCCACCCACAGTTTGAGTTCCATCAGAAGATTCTTCTGACACCAACTGGGTTGCGGACCCCTCTCCTCCTGAGGAAGTCTTGGCACTGGGCACTGTTGGTGTGGATACACCGTTCACACCACTGCTCTCCATCGACTGTCTCTGTTCCTCCTTTCCTTGACCAGGAGAAGTCTCAATCGCGTCTCCTTCAACAGACCCGTCCACCTGAACTGGAATATTGGCTTTATTCGGGTTAAGCGCAGTAATCTCCGCTTCATCCAACGGGCGGTTGTACAGCAGGACGTTCGTCACAGTCACAGGCACTTCTTCTTTGTTGGCTGCGTTTACTCCATCCCCTCCAATGTAGAAGTGGGAGATCTCTTTCGACTCACCATTGCCCAATGCACATTCTTCACTCCCCACACGCTGACCATCGACGTACACGGAGCCCTGGGTGCCGTTCTTCAACAAAATCACCACGTGTTGAGGTGTCCCTGCCTCCCACGTGCTGCTGAGCTTCGTCGTCGTTTTGTCACCGCACAGCACATGCCACTTCTTTCCGCTGTCGTACGACAACTCCATAAGTTTGTTTTCTCCGTTACTGCCCGCACGCACACCCACCAACGGAATGGGGGTGTCTCCCTCCTCCGGCATTTTGTCGATGGACACCGTCGCCACAAGAGTGAAGTTGTAGTTCGCAAAGTGGTACAGCTGATTCTCCCCCTGCTTGCCAACAGGCCACTCCGCCCCTGCGCCACGCCCAGTGAACTTCACACCATTTTTCGTGCTGGCCACTGTTGACGCTGTTGCCCCTTCATCATTATTTACTGTGGCGTTCACGCCGAGGTACTCGTCCCTCCATGTGTTCCCAGAGAAGTTGCCCGACAAAAAGCCAACCAGCCCAGCCGTGATCTTAACAGCGCCGCAGACATCGCCGGTTGGGGGATCCTTCTCAGCAATTAATGAGGTGCACAGGTTGGAGACACGTCCGTCCACCTCCTTCCAGGTCGTCAGCACATCCTTCACACGCTTCAGCTTCTCAGTCAGAAGCACAGAGACCATACCAGGTGATGGTTTCCCACCGTCCTTCTTCTTCTTCTCGTACAGTGCAATCAACTTCTCATTAGTGTTCTCTCCACTGTTGTACAACAGGGAGCTGGCGGTAATCTCTTCGTCATCATCTTCTCCGGATACCGGCCCAATATCAACAATGTGCGTATTGTCCGTCAGCCAAAGATGGAGTTTGCCCTTTTCGTTGCCTTCCCCGGCATGCACCGGCAGAGTGACGAGCATCACATTCCTCTTATCACCATCATTTCCAACAGTCGCTGTGATGAACCCGCTTCTAACGAGTTTCACATTTTCATTTTTGTTGTTGCCCCACACGCGCGAGAGTGTCCCGAGGGCCTCCGTCCACGACTCCCCCTTGTCACCGGACTCGTACACCCTGCGAGGGCCACCAGCACACGCAGTCATCATGATGAGTTTTCCCTCCCTCCACTCCACGACGGAGGGATCACTGCAGCCACCGTCAGACATCCCCTTCGACAGCTTTAAATTCTTATTATCCGTGGAGGAGTATATGATCAGTGAGACAGTCTTCACACCCTCTTCAGTGCCCTCCTCCGCCTTCTTCGTGCCTTCCACAGGAAACACAAGAGTCTCATCCTTCATCTCAACACCCGATCCACCGCTTCCAATCAGCTTTGTCCAGGAATCGGGCTTTGTGCCAAAAAGTCCTTGCGGGGAATTTTCAGTATTTTCCCAGTCAATTTTTTTGTTATTTGTATCCCCACCACCACTGACGCTCCCCTTCACCAGCAAAAGTTCACAGCCGCCTTCATCACTGCTCAGACAATCTTTACTGCCGTACTGTCCAACAAGCATGTAAATATCATTCCCCTTCACAGCAGTTGTTGGTCGGCTCACATCCACTTTCTTCTCTTGACCTTTAGAAGCACCTTCCTCCAGTACTTGTGTCTCATCTTTGGGTTTTCCCAGAACTTCCTCCGGTGTCTCAGCAGTTTTTTTCGTGAGAAGTTGGGATGCAACGCCAGTAAAACTGACACCACCAGCCTCCTTCTTGCACTGCGCCTCGGCAACGGCAAACACGTCATTCCCCACTTTTAGAAGGCTGGGAGCACCCAACGAGTCCACAGTTACATCGTCACTCTCATTGATGCCCCTCCATTTAAACTGAGGACCAGACGACTTCCCCGCAACTCCCGCAGCACCACTGCCGCAGCACACCATCACGACGAGGAGGAGCACCGCAGAGTAGAAGAGATGCCGGGACATGTTGGGCCTCTGCCGCTCACTCTCTCCTCCTTCCCTCCTCCTCCCGCTGGATCCGGTCACGCGGCGACGGTTGTGTGTGCGGGGTGCCTCCACAGCAGCAACAAGTGAGAGCATATAAATATGTGTGTGTGGGCGGTGTGTGTGCTGTTGGTCCTTTCAGTGCCTTACAATTTCACAGTGGCGATTAGCGCTTGTTATTAACTTCTTTCCTTTGAGTGTGGGTAAGAGAGAGAAGTTAAGAAAAAGGAGTGAAGCAGTGAGCACCGCCAGCGTCCACAGTGAGTGGCATCATCATCATCCCCGCTGCAGTCACCCTCAACAACAACTCACGCACGCAGACACATGAAACGGGAAGGATGAACAGTGCAGCGGGAACACACAGCGACGGTCATCACCAGCAGCAGCAGGAGCCACGCCCGGCACCGTCCGTCATGCGTCAGCACACAAAAAGCAGGTAACGCCCGCATCCGGCAGTGCAAAAACAGAGGGGTGAGAAGAATGACCCCAAGAGCAGGCAACAACTTCACGCATGGCGGGCATCGTGCAGCCGCGTCAGCCAGCACCCAGCGAAATGAGAAGGCGTCCACACGCATTCATCCGATGTCACCGTGATTCCACCGCACTCACACACGCAGCGGCCTCTACATGTCAGCACGGGACGCAAGCCAAAGTATCTCCATCACCAAAGCACTCCTGAAGAGCACTGTGCAAATACCCATGTGACTGTGTACGTGTGTTGTGGGAGAGGAGCTAAAAAGAAGAAGAGCACAGGGAGGCACATCAGCACAGCAAGAGGCACAGCTGAATGGCAGCGATACATGCGGCACGGCCCCAACCTCAACAATCACGCACGGTGGCAGCACACACACATCCACAAAGCAAAATTAAAAAAGGTACGCCTCGGTAAATATCACTTAATGCTTCTTGTCATCAGAAGCTAAATCCAACATCAAAGCCGTCGTGTCATCATTCATTGGTTGCCAGTTAGATCTCGCCCTTTTTTTTTTTCCTTATCCTTTTGGTGAAGTCTGGTTGTACAGTTATTTCTTTCTCTTTGTTTTTTTCTCTTCAGAAAATCTCCCGCCCTTCCAATTCCCTCACTGGCAGTGTTCCTTTTGTCCATCCGCTTCCCCGCAGCAAGGAAGTCCCCAAACGGGTCCGCTGCGGACACGACACGCATATGTGTATGCAGTGCAAACGGTGAATAAATTCACTAGTCGAGACAATGGCATGCCGATAAGAGATTTATTCCAATGTTCCTGTTTTGTGTTTCTCTCATCCAGGTAATGCAGTGTGTATGTATTTGTATTAGGTGCGACCCACGCCGTCTTATCACACACCCAGTTTCTCTGGACTTAATTTGATCCCTGTCCCTTTATTCTTGTCGATTGCGACTGAGAGGCTCACAGATGCCATATCAGAGTTTACTGCTGGCCTCCGCCATAAAAGACTGGACGTCCTTCATCTGCTGCTGCGTGATCGCCCCTGCCTGTCGCCACAGTGGCAGCAACTGCGAGAGAGTGACGACCGCCTCAAGCTCGTACCCGAGGCTACCGAGAAGCTGCTTCGCCCCCATCTCACGATCAATGAGGACGACAATCGACACAATCTCCAGGCCAGCTGCCTTCAGTTTTTCAATCGCCTCCAACTTCGTCCCCCCGGTCGTGACGATGTCGTCGATGACCACCACGCGGTCGCCCTTCTTGTAATCGCCCTCAATGGCGGCCTTCGTGCCATACGACTTCGCCTCGCGGCGTGGGTACACAAGCGGGATGTTCATCTCAAGGGAGATGGCGGTGGCGATGGGGAGCGCCGCGTAAGGCAGGCCAACGAGACGGTCAAACTGCAGCGTTCGCAGCACGTTGGCGTACTCGCGTGCAACCAGGCGTAGAATAGAGGGGTGCGTCACCAGACGACGAAGATCCAAATATATCGGTGAATTCTTGCCAGACTTCAATGTAAAGTTGCCAAAACGAACACAACGGGAAGCCACAAGCGCCGCAGCCAGATCAGTGGAGCAAGCCTTGCCAAAGCGAACAAGATTGATGTCTTCACAAAACTTCTTGGCCGCCGCGCGGGGATCCTTCGCACGTGCCACAGCACGTGAGACGTTGATCAACAAACCGCTGCCATCGGCACGGAGGCCAGCGTTCAGAGCTTCCTTGAGATCACCGCCCTGAGCACCAATGCCAGGAACAAGAAACCACAGCGTCGGGGCACGCACTCGCACGCGGCTGAGAGCAATCGGATCCGTGGCGCCCACAACAAGACCAACGTTCTTGTTGTAGTTCCACACTGTCTCTGCGTGCTCTGCGACCGACTCGTACAGGTGGCGGCCGTTCACGCGGAGGCACTGAATTTCATTGGAGCCCTTATTGGAGGTCTTGCAGAGGACAAACACACCCTTCGATGCGTACTGCAGGAACGGCGAGAGGGAGTCGCCACCCATGTACGGGGACGTCGTAATTGCATGAGCTTTGAGATGCTCAAAGGCAGACTTGGCGTAAGCCTCTGCAGTATCGGCAATGTCGCCACGCTTAGCATCCAGAACAACGGGAATGTTGGCAGGAACGTGAGCAATCACCTGTTGCAGTGCTTTCCAACCCTCCTCACCAAAAAATTCAAAAAAGGCGGCGTTTGGCTTGTATGCGGCGGCGTATTCCGCTGTAGCGTCAATCAGACGTATGCACTCCTTTGCAGCTTCGGCTGCTGTCTTTGCGCGGGGATCCAACCCAATGCAGAGCAGCGTCGACTTTGCCCGCTCATTAAGCATGTCAAAGAAGGCCATTGGCATAAATCCCCTTCTCTTTTCTCTTTTTGTTGTTGTTGTTGTTGTTGTTTCTCGCCTTATCTTCAAATTCAGTGCTGATGAGGATAAAGTGATCCTCTTTTTTTTTTTCCTGCGGGCACGTTGTGTCACGTCTGATAACTGGACGCCGTGTTGCTCCTTTGCTCTCGGACTGCAGCCGCATTTTTAAGCAACGACGGGAAATCAATTTATAAAGGAAAAAAAAATCAATAAAACAACATCAACGCCACGTAAAGACCTGAAGACTACACGGCATTACAGCCGCTAGGCGTCGTGGCAGCAGCACTCCAGAAGGAGCTTACTCCACCATCCCCCTCCTCCATTTCTCCTAATTACCCACCCCGCGGTCGTTTACAACCCGTGAGGGCAACGACACCAATACCATAAAAACACCTAAACAGCCTTGCCAACAAGATGCCAGTTCGCGTACGGCGACCATCCACACTTGGATTTCAATTGAGACTCCTTCACAACCCATTCCATGGAGAGATCAAAGAAACGCTGGCTTTTCTCCGATAACCCTAGGCCAAAGATACGGTTGGGGTTGGTGTGCATGAGCCGCACAATGTCCCCAATTGTCAGTCTTCGTGCCTCAAGTACCTTCGGCATTGCCGCTGTTGGGTGCGGCCAGCGCCCCGCACAAACTGTAAGAAGCAACGGAACAACCACCTCAATAGAAGGCATTCCACTTGGCGGGTTCGTCGCGTCGCTTTTCTCTTCCAGCGTGTGTGGTGCGTGGTCAGTACCAATGCAGTCCACTGTGCCGTCCAGCACACCCTCCCAGAGCCGCTCATGATGCTCCGGGGGACGCACAGGAGGATTCACCTTCACCCGCGCCCCACAGCAACCATAATCCCCCGTCGTCAAAAACAGATGATGCGGCGTAACTTCCGTCGTGACATGCAGCCCCTCTGCCCGCGCCTGACGGACAAGCTCCAGACCCTCACCTGTTGAAAGATGAGCGACATGCAGGCGTGTGCCGTGACGTCGGGCCAATTCAATACCGTAGACGATGGACGCAGACTCTGAATGAACCGGGCGTCGCAATGAGTGCGACGGCGGCCCTGTGTAAGGGTTCGCAGAACAAGCTTCGTCATTGTGCGTCGCGTGTTCGCAGTGCGCCACGAGCGGAATGTCAAGTTTGCCACAAAGTTCAAAGGCGGCCTCCGTCACATCCGCGCTGCTCTTGAGGTTCCCGGTGGAGTTGTCAAGATAAAGCTTCAGTCCGGCACAACGGGCCTTGAGAGCCGCGTGTTGCGGTTGTGTCCACAGCGTCTCCAATTCCTGCAGATGCTCGTGGGCGGTAGCACCAAAAAATAAGCGAATGTCGCACAATTTCTCCACCGCCTTGGCACGACGCACCTTCTCAGCAAACGCTGTGATCGTCTGCGTTGGTGGTTTTGTGTTGGGCATGTCGCACACCACACCGATTCCACCCGCGTAGGCCGCCTCGGACTCACTCCGCATGTCACCCTTCTGCTCCAGGCCGGGCTCGCGAAAGTGGACGTGGCAGTCAACAAGTGTGGGCAGTTCCACCCGCGCCATGGACGTCATTTGCATGTCCCTCCTCCCTGCTTCACTACCCCCAACGCCAAATGCCCTCGAGATAATCGCCGCAAGCCACCCCGCACAAAAAGACGGTTAGGGGGAAGGATGCACGACAAGGCAACAAGAACGCAATAAACAAAAGGAAAATTGATATGGCTCGCCCGCAATTCACCTCCCCCTTTAACCCAACAGCCATCACCCGACTGCTCGTCATTGTCTCCCTCCACAGGAAAAAAACAAAAAATAATTTAAAAAAAAAACGAAAGAATAAGAAAAAAAATTAAATTAAATTTAAAAATATAAAAAATAAAGATAAAAAATAAAAACTTTTGCGTTAAAATTTAATCCCAAACACCGCCTAAACCCTTCACCCTCTCTCCCTCCAACCAATACTTTTTTCCCTCAGTAGGAAACACCGCAGCACTTTCACATGCCACGGTGGTAAAAATGCTACTACCACTTCATAATAGCATCTAGCTGATTTACTAAATTGCTTATATAAAGCTTTATCGCATTCTTGCTCACACTGTAACACCCTCTCATTCCCCCTTTATCCGCATGTATGCATTTCTGTATGAATATGTAGCCTCACTTATGCTAAATAAATGCCTATTATTTCTGCCGGCATTTTGCAAACCACTCGAGACCGCAGCTAAAACAGCATGCAGATAAATATGCACGTGCATTCATATGTTTTCTTCGGCCAAATATATATATCCCTTCCTTTACCTCATAATTTTATGTTTTACAGCCTCATCGTGGCGCCCGGACCAGACGCGTGGTGGTGGAACAGGGCAGCAACACCATGAAGTCTGAGGGGCACGTGTTGCCGTAAAAAGTACGTGCCATCGAAATTATTCAAGAAAATAAAAACAAAAAAAAAGCATATATAAATATATATATATGCACTTTATTTTTATTTTTCTCACCTGCTTCTTTTTTGGCCTCTTTTCTTCGTTGTGCCGCGCACCCAACGGCGTTTTTGTGCCTCCACGTTTTTCTTTATTTATTTATTTTTTCTTTCAATGCATGTACGCCTCAGGCACAGATGGAGACGCATGCCATGGCGAGAGAGTCACTGACCTAACAACATGACACAAACCGAGCTACCCTCCCTCCCTCCCTCCCAAAGTGAAAATAAAATGGACGTCGTGCGTGGGTGAAAAGGAAGACATCGTGACCAATCCATTGTGTCAAAAAGCAAAAACAACAAGTAACTAAAAAAATAAATAAAGTCAAATCCAAAAAAAAAAAAAAAAAAAAAAAACATTTTTTTTTTTTTTCTGCTTTCCCTTAATTTTAATCCTCGCTTTTGTTTATTTCTCCGTAATTTTATTTTATTTTCTCCGTTTCAGTTTTCTTTATATCTATCGATATATATCTATATATATATATATAAGTATTTATGTATGTATGTAATTTTTAAAGAAGCACTCGGTGTCACCACTGAACGTCGCTGAAAGAGCCATTGCCGGGTTGGAATACATCTTCCAGCTCCTCCTCCGTCATAAGCTTCGCCACACGCTTCTTCGCTGGCTTTCTCACGTGTGACACCTTCAAGAAAATGACTTCACCCTGATTCAGCTCAACTTCTACAACACCGTCCACTTCGCTTGTAAGGTAGCGAATAGCCTCCAGCGCGGACTGCGTATGTCGCTCCATCAGGCCCTGCGTTGCCAGCTGTGATGCTAGGTGGCCCGAGTACAAGCGGAACATGTCTGCCGCGCCGCGGTCAAAACAGACATCGTACAAGAAGCGAAGAGCCTTTGAAAGCATCGTCATCCCAGGCGTCTCGTACATAACCCCTTCGCGCGTACGCACCAATCCAATTCCATTGCGGCCAGCAATCTCATTCGCCATTTGAAGTGCCTGCAGCGGAGTCACCTCTTTTCTGTTGATATTGGTGCATCGAGCACTGCGAAAGGTGAGAGAACAAAACTCCGGCACAGAGAGGCAATCCCGCAATGGGCGCACCATCTGCGGCGTTGGCATGCTACGCGTATCTGAAAAACTATACGTGATGCCGCACACACTGCTGTGTGACTCAGCTTGAGCGATTCTGGCCTCCACCCCGTGCATGCGCAAAAAGGCAATCTTGTGGGCCTCGCTGGGGAACTGGTCCAGTAGACTTGGATCACGCCATGGGTTGTAGACGCCCATTTGTGGGAAAAAAGTGCGAACATATCGCTCAAAGTTCAGATCCTTCTTTCCCCGAGAAGAACTTTGTGCCACAACCGTCATATGGCGCATCCGCATGGCTTTAAGCAAATACAAGCCCATAACATGCAAGCTTAGCTTCTGCAGATGCCAGTTGTTCGTGTCATCGTCAACCATAGCCATCACCATGTCAAACCCAAGCTCTGCCATCTCAGTGCGGAGGTCGATGAGCTCTACTGGTACTCCAATCGAGCGGAATTGTTCGGCAATCTCCTCACTGTTGTTTTTTATGCCACCAAGGCATGCGTGAAAACATGTCAGTGCAATTTTCTCCTCCCTCAGACTTATCGCAAGCACTTTACTGTCATTCGTGGAGGTGATACACAGACCGACCTTGTGGCGGTGCAACATGGTGTAATTGTCATTCTCCATTTTGTTATAGACTCGTGGAACGTAGTGGCGAAATGGTTCAATCTCAATCTCTTTCACATCCATATCAAGAGTCTCACAGAACATGCGCACCACATTGGGCTCCGTAAGCAGGGAGTGATTGTAATCCACCGCAAGTCGCCGAATCCAATAGTCGGGCGTGGCATTCTCCTGCGTGCAACGCCGAAGCATAAAGTCCTGACGCTTATCACGAAGCTGAATGACAAGATCAAACTTTTCCTTTACAGCGACCGCCGTATCAAACGTTGGCTCGCTGTCCTCATGACGCTGCGTCAGAACGGTGTGTGGAATGCCATAATCCGCCAGCACGCGTGAGGTCTGCTTCGAGGTAAAGACGGGAAATCGATGCGCGATGCACTCAAAGTAGGGGCAGAGGTCCTCTGCCATTGCGTCTACATCGCAGCTGATAAATACACCACGCTGTGGATACCGGAAGTTCTGGCAGAGCATCGCTTTGAGGAACACCTCCTTCTTGTCGCGCCCAAAAACGCCAATCTCGCCCGTGGACGCCATCTCCACCCCAAGAATAGGGTCCGCACCGGCGAGGCGATTAAATGAGAACACAGATGCCTTGCAGCCAATGTGTGTCATCCTCGCACGTTTGATCGGCACGAGGTTGGAGTCGTGTTGAGAGAGAAAAGCCGACACCATCACGGCGGGAAATGATATGCCAAGCGTCTTTGACACAAATGGAACAGAACGCGAGCTTCGAAATGTTGCCCTCATCACACGCAGTTGTTTATCCTTCGTGAGAAGAAA